CCACTGGCCGAGATTATTTTGGTAAAACCAGCACCACCCCAGTTGGTAGTTTTCCACCTCGAGATGTGGATGAGTCCCTCGTATCGCGCTTCAACAAAATCGAGTTGATCGGAACAGGAGAATTTTCTCAAGTATACAAAGTCACCCAGAGTGCGCACAAGGCTTCAACATTCATGTTTGGTGATTCGGTCGATTCCCCAATGACTGGTAGAACACCACCAACACCTACACCAGACCGTGTCTTTGCTGTCAAGAAGTCAAAGCAACCATATCAAGGTTTCAAGGATCGATCAAGAAAGCTCAAGGAAGTTGAGGTTATCAAGGCACTCGGTCAGGCTGACAATGTCATCCATTATGTCGATTTCTGGGAAGAGAAGAATCACTTGTACATTCAAACGGAGTATTGTGAAGAAGGTAGTCTTGATATATTCCTTTCTCAAAACGGTCGAAAGGGTAGAGTAGATGATTTCAGAATCTGGAAGATTTTACTTGAGATCGGACAGGCAAGTTAAATACCCATCGAACTTTGTCAATTTCAACTAACATTTAATAGGGCCTTAAACATATTCATGATTCTGGCTTCATTCATCTCGATATCAAACCCGCCAATATCATGATTACCTTTGAGGGCGTCTTGAAGATTGGTGATTTTGGCATGGCAACTTCATGGCCTGCTTCCGATGCAATTGAAGGTGAAGGAGACCGTGAATACATTGGACCTGAGATTCTCCTTGGGCAATATGACAAGCCAGCAGATGTTTTCGCTCTTGGTATGGTTATTTTCGAGATCGCCACCAACGTATACTTGCCCGACAACGGAGTTTCTTGGCAACGTCTAAGATCCGGAGACATGAGTGAAGCTCCAAGTCTTACTTGGAGTGAAGCAAGTAGCATGCCCCGTGATGCCAATGGTATCCCTATCGTCCCTAGCGATGATTCTATGACCAGCGATGACGACCTTGAAGTCGATTTCGGTTCACCAATCGCTGCCAGCCGGAAACGATTCACTTCATCCTCCAAATCATTCGCCCATGACCCAAGCAACTTGTTCGGTTCTTCTAGACGAGGTGAACTTGAAGAGGCCCCAGAATTTATGAGAGATCCTAATCATGAGTGTACACTCGATAAGCTTGTTCGATGGATGATCTCACCACGTCCTCAAGACCGACCTTTGATTCATGAAGTGCTCGAATCACCAGGCCTTCAATGGGTTAGTAATAGGCGTCGTGCTGGCGCCACTGTTTTTGAAGGAAACTGGGGACCAGCAGATGAAGTCTTAGATGATGCTGAGATGATGGACGTTTAGAATCTTTCAAGATTTTGCTGGGAGCATTCGCTGTTAACATTATCGCCAAGTACTCGCTCAATCCTGGATAGGACTTGACGGGATTTGGATTCACATCAATTTGAATTTGATTATGTGTTTACGGCGTTGGCAGGATATCAACGGCGTACCAAACGATATCTACCTCTACTTTACGACCACTACCTCTACGATTCACGATTTGCCTCCTTAGCCTTACGACCTTTACAATTCTTGTATATATTATACTTTGACACATGAGTTACCTGCTCATTTTACACATTCACGAGACCCACAGCATCTAAAACATACAACATCAAAATCAAAAAAGAAAGATAATATTTGGTGGGATCACTGATCAAGTTATTGAACGATTATCATGTCAAGATTATTATGAAAGAAAAAAGAAGGCGATTCTTATTTACTTTTTACTTGTGTCTTTTTTAACGAGCTGATAGGCAGGCATATGGATTTGTTTACAAAGATAAATAGTATCTATTCTTGCTTGCTATAAGCTTAATCAGATTTTGGTTGCTTTGTATTAACTATGTCCCTTTTAAAAGGGTTTTACCTTGTTTTTTCTCTTTTGTTTTCTACATGCCTAGGTGCTCAAATATTGGGGTGCATGAGGTTAGAAATGTTTTTTGTCTTTTAATAGGGAGTTGGAGGTATTCTACGAATTCCTAATCATATGGGAGGATGGAATGGATTGATTGATTGATTGATTGATTGATTGATTGATTGATTGATTGATTGATTGATTGATTTGATGGATGGGGAATATCTGGGGTGTTTTTGTGCTAGTCTTCAAAGATGGGATCTGAACTGGCTTGGGATGGATGGATTGGGAGGAGTTTTTCATTTGTTGATTTTTTCCTTTGTTTATTGGGGTTGGAGGTGAGGGTGGAGGCGGGAGTGGAATGAAGTGGAAGTGGAAGTGAAAGGAACAGAGATGGTGGCTTTTTAGTGTATTGGGTGAATAGATACACGTTGTATGGTAGTGGAGAATTGTAGATATAGAGAACCCTGATCCTCTGAACACAGTCTTGTGTAGATGAGGGGATGGATGAGCAACTTACTTGCTGAATGAATTGCTGGTTCAAATGAGTCTTATTTTTTGGAGCGTGTGTGTGTGTGTGTGAGAGAGAGAGAGAAATTCGGAGATCTGTTGTGATTGAGTGATTGGGTGATTGTTGCTTGTTGCTTGTAGTTAGCTGGGGTTGATGTATTGAGGTCTAGAATTAATTGAACTGAACTGGATTAGACTAGATTGAACTAGATTGAATTGACTGGATTGAATTAGATTAAACTGAACTGATAGAAAGGGAGAAAGGAAATGAGGAGAGGGGAAGGAGAATAGATGTATAAATAGAAAGTAGAGAGTAGAGAGTATTTTAGTGTTATATATTTTTTTAAAAAAAATTGGGGAGGGGGGGGGAAGAAATTGAGGGGATTGAGCTTGAGATTGAGATTGTGGAATGGGGAGTTGGAGTGGGATGAGAGAGTGAAGGTTTGGGTGAGTGAGGTGAGTGAGGTGAGTGAGGTGAGTGAGGTGAGTGAGGTGAGTGAGGTGAGTGAGGTGAGTGAGGTGAGTGAGGTGAGTGAGGTGAGTGAGGGTGAGTGAGGTGAGTGAGGTGAGTAGGTGAGTGAGGTGAGTGAGTGATGAGGTGAGTGAGGTGAGTGAGGTGAGTGAGGTGAGTGAGGTGAGTGAGGTGAGTGAGGTGAGTGAGGTGAGTGAGGTGAGTGAGGTGAGTGAGGTGAGTGAGGTGAGTGAGGTGAGTGAGGTGAGTGAGGTGAGTGAGATGGGAGATGAACTCTGAAGTGGTTTGATGATTGTAGGATATGGGAGAGGAGGGGTGGGAGAGGAGGGGTGGGAGAGGAGGAAAAGAGTAGATAAGAGGGGAATGAGGAGGTAAGAATGCGAGGATTAGGGGTGTGGGATTTATGGTTTTGGAGGTTTGGGTTTTTGGTTTTTGGTGTGAGTCTGTGAGAGGGGAAGTTGGCCTGGAAGGTGAGGGCAAGTTGAGGGCGAGTGTGAGAGGAAAATTGATGGAGATGGTGAGTGGATGGAAGAATGAATAGATTTGAGAGATTGAAAAATTGAGGGTTTGAAGGTTTGAAGGGATATAGGAGGTGGTGGAAGTGTAGAGGCATGGAACTGGAGATGGTTCGTTGATTAGATTGAGTTTAGAAGGGAATATTGAAATATGATGTAAAATAATGTCATAGTTGGATTTTAGTTTCATCTATTGCGTATGGGGTACTAGGAGTTTGGTCACTGAGGATTGAGGAAAATAAAGTATAGGGGTTTGTGGATATCAGGTAAAAAATTCGGTAGATTCAATAGAGTACTCCGTAGATAGATAGTAGATATAGTATATTATATTCAAAACAAGATATGGGATTGATTCGAAGAGGAGAAGAGAAGAGAAGAGAAGGAAAGAATAAAGAAGGTAACAGATAAGTATTGATCTTGAGATGAGAATTTAGATTTTCAAAAACGGGATTAGATTGTAAGTAGTGTAATGTGATTTGCGTTTTGTAAGAATTAGGTTAGGAATAGAGATGTGGAAAGATTGTAGTTTTAGATCTTGTGGTTGTGTTATGATTTGATATTCGAATATCGTTTAGCTGTTTAATAAACGATCGTTTTCCTATCTGGAATGATATTTTGCTAATAGGTATTATAGTGCTAGGTCCCTTTTGTAAAGTAGTTGATAGTTTGAAATGGTGTGTTTGATATAATTCGAGTGCTAGAGGAGAGGATTTGATGTGATGGTCAAATTTCAACTCATGAACAGAATCATGGATTTATTTGACCTAATATAGTTAATAATTTGATATTAAATACAATATTAGATGATTTCACTATTGCATGATCAAAATTCCTTATTTGAAACTTGATCTCCAAGTGGAACTAACGATGTAATCTAAAAAGAGGTGTTATATGATCTTTGAAATGACGGTTGATGTAGGGCAAAGTGGTTAATCGTTGTGAGCTAATATTCAATATACGATATCAGATCTTATCATCCTCTGGATCTATATATCTTTTTTGTCAATCCTATCTTCTATCCCTTGTTGAGAGTGATATAAAGCGAACTTAATTATGTGACACTGCGGCTCAGCTAGATGTATGTAGTTAATGGATTTTAGTACTATAAACTATGTGCGTATTTTCTTGTTCGATTTTTCTAAATGGTATCAATATCTTGCTACGAAGTGAGTTGTGGATATTAGGAATGATGTTTGTGTCTTTGAATACTTTTTTGGTATTTCTCTTTAGGCGAATATTAATGAGAAGAGTCGAGTTTTAATATAATATCGTTTTCTGAATAGGTACTACCTGGTAGAGTATTGAGTTGGATTTGAAGAATTAAGGGATGGATAAATATAAGGTGTAATATTCACCTGTGTAAATATTATTAATCTTGAATTCAAGGATAGAATTGAATGATTGGTATTGCAAGTGAGTACTCTTATATCCGAATCATAGAATGATGGTAATTGTGTATGACAGAAAGATGTTTTTTGGCTCATTATTTTGTATGGACGAAATACCACTGTATCCATGGATATTCCAGGTATGTGTTATTCAACCTCAAAGTTCCCAATATCAATTTAGCATTTACATTCGCTATTAGCGATCAAAAAATCAGACATTACTTCATTATCCTCTAGTCACTATCTCCCTCTCTCACATAATCCGATATAACAGATCTCCGCCAAATTTCTTTGGTCCATGCATCCCAATCTCATCGACGTCACTGCCAAAAATACCCAGCGCATCTAATCTCCAAGCATCCCACATTACATACCCCCAGCTTCTCAAACACCTTCCTGTTTGGTTCCACTTCCCATGGTCTCTTTCCCATTGTCTACGCACCCAACACCATGCTGCATTACTTCCTGACTCTTCCCATACAGATTGTTCTTTCAAACACTCTTGTATAGTTTGAATGGAGATGTCTCTTCTCGTTGCATCCTTGGTCCTTAAGAATTCCCATTCATCCAATGTCATGGACAAGAAATTGTTCACCTCGATGAAGTAGATCGCATCACTGTCTATGGCACTATATATCAAGTTCACTTTCTCCTTTCCAGTTTCCTTGCGTTTTACTCCGGCCAACAACTCAAACCCCTTGCTCATAGCCAATTCGCTCACATTTTCCCAATCAATCCAACTCTTTTCCCTGAGCCATTCACTATTTGCGGCTTCCTCGAGGGAGCGGTTCCGGTCTCCATCTATCCATTCTTGATAAATCCACACGTCTTTCCATTCCTTCGAATATTGCTTGTACAGAGCATCATATTCCCTGAGATACCAATCTCGCACGCAAATCATTTCTTCAATTTCCCATTCCTCACATCGATTCAAAAATAGGACTTGCTGCTCCTCGCATAGCTCACACAGACGTCCGCGTCGTTTCCAGTCGTGCCAGTAAATACGATTCAATCCTTGCTCTGAGAAAGGACCACTTGGATCTTGAGCGGATTTGTACGCTGAGGAATCGTGGTCTCCAAGTGAAAATAAATAGGTAAAAGCCTCTATTCGAAGAAATGCGCGTTGAATACGACAGAGCTCGCTCTTGGAAGGAGATTTTGCTGAAGGGGCTGACAAGGGGATCCGTTCTCCAGTAATTGGATGATTTCCTATCGTACTTTCAAAGAATGTCATCGTCAATTCTTGGAGTGCGGGCAACTTCCTTGAAAACCAAATCATATCATCCAGTGTGATGCCCAGCTCAGTTTTATCTAGATTTCTTCTACTCTTTAATAATTCTGATATTGTTTCTTGCGATGTGTCGTCCATTTGGTCACCCCAAACATTACCGGCTCGCAGCTGTACGTGCCGAGCTGCTCTAATCACGAACCACGCTTCTTCTAGAACTTTGCTTCCGAGTTCGTTCTCTAGTACTTGTTGGAGAATACGTTCATATTCCTCGCTGTGATAAGCGTTGTAGAGTCGTGGTGATGAGTGGGTCAGGGCATTTAGAGAGGTGACACTTGGGAGAGATCGAAGGACTTGTACTTTGAGTTCTGTGGGGAGTGCTTCGAGCTGTGATTTTGATTGTGAAGTCGACATTTTGAGAGGTGTAATTTATTATATGATGGAAACTATCTTGTGGTGTGTGTGGTGTGTTTTGTGGTTTGCGGATGGAATTGTGGAAGGTATGAGAGTAAGTGACGAGAATATTGTTTCGTGGGTAGGGATTTTCGTGACCCGATGATATGAGTAGCAATATTCCAATCCAGTGGGAAATTCTCTGACAAGTATTATCATTATATTTTTAAACATTCATTGCAAGAAACGATACTCAAACATTCCAAAGTATGAATGATCAACTTGAGGTTGACATTGATCACGTGCGCGGCAGCCTAATTTTCTTGTCCTGCTGGATCTTATCTTATATCTACACTCAGCGTAGACAATCGACTTTGACGGTTGTAAGATTAGTACATAAGACTGCGAGGAAGTGAAGCTGCGAGGTATTTCATTCACTAGTGTGTTATCATGCCTCCTGTTGCGTTCAAGACTTTTTACATCATTTATCATATATCATTCCACGATACGACGATATCAATAAAACTGGTGAACAGGATGAATTTCGAAGAACCACGGTAAGGTTACTCACCAGAATCCTTTTCCATTCCGATCAATGAACACCGCCATACTCTTCGATTTATCCTTCTATCTGTTTAGAGAACACGGCATGAGGTTCGTTCGTTCAAAAATGTCCAAATACAACGCAATCTATTATCAATCCGCTGTTTGCGGTCATGCCTGCTTAAACTTACTGCACAAATTCGTTTCACTTCACGAAATGAACATGATGACCAGTACGCCTACTCACCGAAACTTTTTGCCGCTGATTCGGATGGCAGATTCTCACGAGTGGATTAGCAGATATTTTAGCTCTACTGCTTTGAATATTTCCATACATTTGAAATCCAATCTCACCCTAAATTAAAATGGAATCCTAGTAATACAATAGCCTCCAATTTCATGGCTTTGGGCGTTGAAATACTTCCAGCATCGGGCTGAGAGTACACGAAACCACCGAAGACGACTTCATCCGAACCTCAGTACCGTTCAATGACTTATTTTGCATGATCTGAACAGACAAATCCACGCCATCTTAGAATCACTCTCGTTTCGTCGTTCCAGCTCAATGCCATCTTGAATGTCATCTCCACTACACACCTCCTGCTGCATTCGGAACCAGCCTTGACTCAATGCGACTAGTGTTGCTGTTCCGGCCATAGCGATTGATAGAGCGATTGCCATTCGGATACCCCTTATATAAGCATCTATAATTCCAGGTAATTCGTTAGGCGGAAAACTAGTCTGAACTTGAGATGCCCCTATGCTGAATATGCTGGAGGGGCTAATTGATGGATATGTATGAGGAATAATGTTGAGAAGCTCGTTTTGGAAAAGTGATTGAGCTGCCGAGACAATCAGAGCACCTCCCATTGACTGAAAGACTGTGTTATATCAAGGATATCAGCTTATAATATTCTTTGTATCTTGTTTTGTTCTTCTTATCCTTCGTTGAAGACTGTTTAGTATTCAGCTTCAATCTAATAGCTTAATAAATCCCCTCAAGATTCTGGATGAGTCTTTGAGTCTCAGGGTGTCAAAGGAGACACATTACAGACATTTCTCACCCAAAGGAATCAAGAAAGGGGGCATCGTCAAGCATTGACTAGAAAGAAGAGAGAACACTTACACAAAAGCATTGACGTAGCAGTTGCTATCTCATCTGCCTTCACAATGTTTTGTACTACAATGATGTACACGTTGAAGCAAAATCCAAGCCCAATACCTGCCAAAGCTTGGTAACCAATCCATTTGCTTGAGGAAGAATCTGGTTGTAAAGTCATCAATAATCCGCAAGAGATGGTAGTTAGTGTTCCGCCGACGATCAAGAATGGGTTAATAACGCCTATCTTGCCGACACTAATACCTGTTATAATCTGTACCAGAGCTAGGTGAAATGTTTCATTAGTAGGTCTGCTTAATATAGAGAAGGAACACATACTGAGACCCAAGATCAAAGGAAGAGTTCGAATTCTGGATCCAGTGGCATCAGCTCCCCGAATCGCTTGGAAGTAGATCGGAAGATAGTAGAGAAGGATATAGAAGCTGCCGGCGATTCTGGGAAGTCTGGTAAGCAAAAGCTGTCAATCGAATTCAAAAAATATTGAAAATTACTGACAGAAAGCAGAAAGCACAACCATTTGAAATGGTTGGGTTCCTGAAGATACTCCGTAGGAGAAGAGCTCTCTCGCCTTGATACCATTCAATGAGCCCGAAAAGTACGAGAAACAACGCAAAGCCAACAAGTGTACCAATCACATCCGAGTTACTCCATCTTTTAATGGCACCTCCCCACTGCAGAGCTAGAAGGTAGCAGACGATGGACGCAGTGATGAAAAGAAATCCTGGTATATCCATCTGCAGAAGTTTTTCCTTCAAGGTTGCCTCAGCTGGTTTGACTGCATCTGGCACTTTAAAGAGGAAGATTATAGAAGCGGCAGCGAGTGCACCGCAAGGAAGGTTAATTGTTAGAATTTCAAAGTACTATCCTTTCTTTGATTCTGCCGAAGATATTTACAGAGATTTTTAATTATTTCATCTAGCAACGTTTGCGTCAAACTGGATTACTGCTTGACTTAGCTTTCACCCACCATCGAGCCTCCATTGCTTGATCTCAAGTTCTCGTTAAATGCCCAGTCTACTACTTCTCTTTAAACAAAACAAAAATTAACATTCTTACCAAATCTAATGAAGCCAAAAACATACTCAAAACTATCGCAATACCTACAGCAGCATATCGCCAGCCGGTCAAGTAAACTATGGCAGCAGTGCCAGCAGTGCCATTGTTAATTCCTAATTGAGGTTATTTCTTTCCAAAGTCATGTTTTTAAGAATAATTATGATTGGAAGTCCAAGTAATCAAACGCTTCAGAATAGTGATATGGTCAAATGCATACTTATTTATCGTCTCACTAACAGCATGTAAGACGTTGGTTGAGCTGTCAACTTTAATTAGGGAACCAACTAAACTGAGAATTTCCATCAACATGATCCAGCACATGAAGTCGGAACGATGGATCCGTGAGATTAATCGCATTTAACGAACCAAACTAATCTCTGGAAATCTGTTGTTTCCACCGCACTCGGCGGGGTGTCAGCATGCACGAATGCCTGTCACCAACAGTTTGATGTCACTGGCATGAATTTAAGGAATTCATTTGAGAAATCAATGCTAATTATTCTATACCAATTGCAAAATGAACTCAGAACGAAAATTTGATGTTATTATCATTGGGGCAGGTAATAGCACATCCCAAATCCAAATACAAGTTTCATGTACTGACCCATTTTACGATAGGAATCTCTGGTATATACGCAGCCAAATTCTATCTAGATATACATCCACAAAGTCGTCTCGTGATTTTCGATCGAGACAAGTGTGTTGGTGGCGTTTGGAATCCTAGTAAGTCTCATGTTTGTTCCCGAGGAAAATTTCAATTCTCACTTCTGTAAGGAAGAGGATACGAATCATTCTGGACACAATGGACAGTCGGTACTGCGGAATTTTCAGACCTACCTATGACCAGACCACCCGAAGAAGATATTTACTTTGAATTCTTCAAAACGAAATATACCACCAAGTATCTTGAAGATTATGTCGACACACGTTGTTACGGCGACACAACATTCCGTGATAGAATCAAGCTCTCAACGGAAGTTCGATCAATCCTGAGAAAGGACGGTAAATGGATGATTGAAACCGTGGATGTGGTTTCTGGAGCTTCAGATACTTGGCAAACTACTAAATTGATTGTTGCTAGTGGACTCAACTCTATACCCAACATGCCCTCACTTCCAGGCAAAGAGTTATTTCAAGGCCCTATCATTCACCAAAATGATTTTGGGTCGTCCAGAGTTTTGACCTCACCAGATATCCAGAAAATAACTGTGCTAGGAGCTGGAAAGTCATCTGCCTATATGGTATACTCAGCTGTTAAAGCAGGCAAGACTGTATCATGGATCATCAAGGCTTCTGATACAAATGGTCCTGGATTTCTTCTTTCTCCGAAAGGGAAGGGTCCTTACAAGAATGCTTTCGAAGTTGGATTGACACGCATTACTGCTAAATTCGTGCCTTCCTTTCTGAATGGTGATTCATGGTGGACGTGGTTTTTGCATTCGACAAAGTATGGAGTCAAAATGATGAATGCCTTTTGGGTTGCTGTTGATAATGAAACGAGGAAAGATGCAGATTTCAATGGAAGAAAAAATCTTCAAGGCTTTGAGAAATTGAATCCTCAATCTCCGTAGGAAATTATGCACTGGGATGCGTGTTGGCAGTCTGCTAATTCAAAAATAGGATCTTTTGGCAGAATTGTACTGGTGGTTTACTGAACCAGGTCGATTTCTTCGATATCATTGCTGAAAAGGTTCGAATCTATTGTGCAGACATTACAAGTATCGAAGAACACAAGATCATTTTAAAAGACGGTGATGTAGTTCTGGCAGATGTCATACTTTGTGGTACTGGCTGGGTACCATCCCTTCAATTTTTTACCGAGGATCAAAGAATATCACTTGGTCTTCCTCACCTCCCATCTTCCGAGCGTGAAGAATATCAAGATAATTGGAAGCAGCTTACCTCTGAAGCAAATCAGAAAGTCGTCTCCAGATTTCCGCAACTTGCAAATCCACCCCCGCATTACCGTCGTCCTATCACCCATACCCCATATCGTCTTTACAAACACATCGCGCCCCTCCTTACATCAGATTCAGAAATTGACAGGAATTCCATCGTATTCATCGGTCAAGTAAGCGTAGGAGACTATTTCCCGGTCGTACAATGCCAGTCTATGTGGGCGACGGCATATCTGGATGGCAAACTAGCTCTCACGCCAAGCCAAGAACAGCAAAAAGAAGTTGCACTATTCACAGCATGGAATAGCAGAAGATACTTAAGCAGTGGAGACGAGGGAAACAATATGACGTTTGAGTTGGTAGGGTATTTTGACAGCCTTCTACAAGACTTGGGATCGAAAAGTCATCGAAGAGGTTGGTTTGAGGATTTATTTACTCCGTTTGTGGCAAGTAACTTTGCGGGATTGAAGGATGAATATTTGAAGAAGTGTGGTTGTGATGAGAGGAAAGGAGTTTGAATGTTTTTTCTTTTGAGCAATTCGAGATTTCATAAGAAACCAACCATCAGCCGCAAAGTTTGTACAGATAAATAGTTCATTTCTCTTGTTTGGGTAAGGACAACACTTTCCTTTAAAGCAGCCAAATACCATAGATTCGTTTTTTAAGAAAGATGCAACAGCAGTTTACTTATTTTATCCGTAGATTAAGATGAGATAGCTGCGTTACCTGACATGACTTCGGATACTAATTTACGATGTATCATCTAGCACGGGACTCATAACCTACTCCAAAATGCTTGTACAATAGGCAGCTCCACTTCCCATATTGCAGATGTGTGAGTGATGTTTGACAATTGTGCTAGGAGGAAGTAGGATCTCGCAGGAGTCTTCAACAACTAGAATGAGGTTGGGGAATATAAGGAAGGTGCATTGAAGCTATTAATGTTGATCCTGGAGGACACCATCTAGGATATCTTGGATCAATTGTAGGTCCTTTTCCACATCGACTTTCCACGTGCTGATTGCAAATCTGCAGGCTGGTCTCTCCCCCCATTTTGTCCCTGACACATACATTTTTCTTGTTGCATTGATTCTTTTAACCAATTCATTGTTAGTGCTGTCATCTTTTGCTCGGAATATAACGATGATATGAGTATTCTCAATCGCATTTTCATTTTCCGACTTGCCTCTCGCAAGCAGTTCGTATCCCACATGTGCATCCAAAAACTTTGAGATTCCCCTTGCTAATCTGACTTGACGAGCAAACATCTGACTCAAGCCTTCACGACCATACGCCAAAAGTACGGCGTAGACTGGCAGGGCTCTGAAACGACGTGAGTTCTCAAGACCAATATTCAGAGGCGATGGAATGCTCGATGGTCCAGATGAGAGATATGCTGCATTCGGGTTTTGAAATACAGATGACAGTGTTGATACCGACCTTGTGAAGAAAAAGCCACAATCATAAGGCTAAACAAATATTAGTCAGGAAGTCTTTAAAGGATTAGCTTAATGAATGGAGTTTGTATAGCATACCACATTAAGCATTTTATGAGCATCTCCTGTTATCGAATCTGCTAACTGAAAACCAGCGGATACGCTTCTTATAGAGGTAAATTCCGAAGTATCTGGAAGACTCTGAGCAAAAATTCCAAAGGCTAAAAAATTGTTAGCTGTAGATACAAGAAACGACCATAGTTTTTTTTAACGTACCTCCATCGACATGTAGCCAGGTGTCATAGCGATCGCAAAGTTCACGGACTTTTTGCATCTCGCGGCTTCCATCAGTTGCAAATCTTCCGGTATTGACCTCTCCAGCACTCAACGAAACTATACTAGCCACTCCATCTTTCTCTTTGGCCAACTCTTGTTCTAAAAGAAGTATGTCGATTTTCCATGGCTCGGATGGACTGGTACCAATATCCTTTACACAAGCTCTTCCAAGCCCAACAATACTTGCAGATTTGTATATAGAGCTATGAGCCATGGAAGTCAAGACCTGGATTTCTGTAATCCCAGCTTTATTACAGGCCATAAGTAATCCCAATTCTCCAACGCCTCTGCTCTCTCCCGTCTTTTCGAGCCGTCGAGAAATTATAGCTTCCCGTCCACATGCCAGTCCAAGAGTGTTTGCCCCGGTAGCACCGGTAGTGAAAGTTCTCCCATTCCAGTCATCTTCAAGATCCAACAGATCTGCAAGCATTCCCAAGGCCTTGTCCTCGACAGCAGTGCTGACGCTTTGATCTGGTAAATGCACTTGAACATTCTGATCAAAGGCGGTGACAATATTGTCAGCGACTTCTGCAATCGGGAAGACACCACCAGTGACAAACCCATAGTAGTTAGATGAAGTCTTCGGGCCATTGAAGCCGGGAGTTATATCTGATAGAAGATGTGCCGCAGTGGCTTCTTCCCCAAGCCCAACCGCGGGGAGACTTGTGACGAGGGACCGAGTAGCTACAGCAATGGCATTGGGTGCGGGTAAAGCATCATTTGAGGTATCATCAAGGAGTGTTCGAAGCTTATTATATGATGATGCAACCGAGAACGCCATAGTTAATTGAAAGATAATGGGAGGTAATAAGATGCGTTAGTGGGATTGCGCGTTGGAAATCGTGTCACATTACACGACTAAAATGCTGAAGCGAAATCATGAAGTTTATATAGTCACTGTCAACAGCAACCTATCTGATGACTTTATCAGTTGTTGATCGCAAACTCCTGCCTCAAAGTGTGCAGATTTCCATTTTAGGTCAGATTCCCAGTCGCCCCTCTTTCAGGTGGAGCAATGTAATGCCACACCTCGTGCAGCCACATTGTTGCGCCACAAAGTTAGGTTATGGAACGTCTCAACCGGTAGGTACGGCGCACATCACCCATCGTTGACATTCGTGCTTTGAGCTTGATTCTATTGCAACATCAAAACTTGGACCGGTTGACAATTGGAATAGAATTGTGTCTTACAAATTTATTGAACGGTGTTGGGCATTCACGACATTGGAATCAATTGAGGATTGTTTGAAATATTCCATTATGTGTCCTGCAACGAAACTCTGGCGCGTGCCATTCTCTTGTGTCAATGATCAAATTCCCTCAGTAACAATGAGTGACAAGAGAAAGCTACCGATATGTATCGGTAGATGAAAAGAGTCCGAGGAGTCGGAGGTAACCCTCCTCACTTTGCACAAAGGATACTTCCTCCCGCAACTAAAGTCTTGTCGGGACCTGGACTGGGTCGGAATCAAACACGAGTGGTTATACAACTCTTTATGTATGACTAGCAAGACAGAAAGCATTTAGGTCTCGGTTCCCATTGCCATGTCGTCGAGTGATGGATCTTCCTTCTCTGGCTACTCGTCCAGATATGGAGCCCAGTTGAACCCAGGCGGGTATTCGCATGATCATCAAACGAAATTGAATGCTTGTTGTTGGAAACCACTTCCTCATTTGATATCATGCATATCATTTTATTACTATTGCAAATAATCGGGAGGCTACAAGGTGCGGATAACCTTGAATACTAGTGTCGTGGTCCATTACATAAATGTTGCAGCTCCAACAATTTGTTGGTCCAGGCTGAATGCATTTATCCGTAGCTGGCACGAGTTCCGTACGCCAAGCTGCATGCAACTACAAATGAAATACCAACCAGTAGGCTGGGCTCCCATGCATCTGGCTAACGCATCCCAACACATGGATTCCGAAGGTTGAATTGACTCCCGGCATTGAGTCAGACCACTATGGCGGAATTTAGATTCGCGAATGAGATATATGAAATAGGGCTACAAAACTACCAACATGTATAACACGATTCTTGAGAACCAGCGGGCAAATCGCCATGCTGTCTTGTGTTGGCTTTGCTTTGGCCTATCATTGTAGAGAATTGAGCATGGAGAATTCAAACCAGCAGAAGCAATGCGAACTCTCAATCGGCTGCGGTGGTCATGCCTACTTGCAGGAGAAGCAAGCACGCAGCAGCCATACGAAAATTCCACAAAACTTCTCTCCGTAGAATTAAACGTACCAAATACACTTCACAAACCCGAGGATTTGGGTCCGCTCCTTTTGCATCTCTCACGATAGACCTTTTCGCCACGCACAAACATGTCGAAGTGTCAAGAACCTGGACAATGCGCTCTTTGCCCAACAGCGACTCAACCACAACATGCAGAAGATGTCGAGGCACCGCTAGGATGTAAATCTCCAGGTGCAAATATGAATGCAGACTCTCGCCGTGAGCGCCAAACACAATCACCCGAAACTCCTGAGTCCCAACGATGGGTTAGTGCGAGCCGCCTTGCTGGAATAACTCCGAGAACGCTAACTTCGTATCCAGGTCATCATCCAAATCTTTGACAAGCAGTGTTGTGGATTTTCCAGAAGAAAATGGCAGAACATATCATGGCTATCGTCCAGGAAGTACTGATGTCCAATTTGGCTTTCTTTGTCAATAGCTAACCAGCCTGCTAGCATACCACTTCCCAAATGACGTCAATGAACAAGACAGACTTGAGGCACAATTCGATATGCTAAAATGTGCTTTTTCAGGTCGCAACTTCTTCGCTCCTCTGTCTGACCCTCGGTATATTCTCGACATTGGTACCGGTACAGGTCAATGGGCAATTCAAATGGGCGATACCTTTCCAGAGGCAGAAGTCCAAGCCACTGATCTCTCTCCAATCCAGCCAGTATCTGTCCCAGAAAACGTTCATTTCTATATCGACGATGCTAGCGATGACGATTGGGTACTTCCGTCCAACCACTTTGATTATATTCATACCCGTGTGTTGCTAGGATGCTTCACGGATTTTGAAACCATCATAAAAAGAGGGTTTCACTACACGAAGCCAGGAGGCTATATGGAGAGTCAAGAAATTTTCTTCACTCCATATTGTGACGATGAATCGATGACTGAAACCTGGCCATTTCTAGAATGGATTGGGTTTGTCGAAAAAGCGGCAATCAAAGCTGGCAGATCGATGAATATTGCCAAAAACCTCAAGAGCTGGTACGAAGCAGCTGGATTTGTGGACGTGCAGGAAAAAGTGTTTAAATTGCCAGTCAACCCTTGGTCCAAAGACAAGCACTTATATAACCTTGGGAAGATGTCCGAAGAGAACTGGCTTGCATGCCTATCAAGCTTTAGCATGGCTTTGTTTTCTCGCATCTTAAATTGGAAGCAAGAACAAATCGAGGTTAGTTTCCCCGCTCAATGCCTTCCCACATGTTATTGGTTGTCTAATAGGGATGACCGACAGGTATATCTGGTGAATGTTCGAAAATCTATCCCGAATCGAAATGTTCACGCCTATAATAAGATATATGTTGTGTGGGGGAGGAAACCAGAAGAGAGCGAGAAATTTTGGAGCAGTACCTCGCAAGAGATGTCTTCCAAGGTTGATGTGGCCCAAGGTGAATCTGCAAAAAGTGTCGCTTGACGGACTTCACGATGTTTTGATCGGGATTCACAATTTTCTTAGGAGTTTGTTAGATACAAGCTACTTAACTAGTGTTTTCTGAGTTTGCGGCGGCAGTCGTGTTGATCATTGAGTGGATCTTGTGATAGTACAATTTTATTCCCGATCATCTCTCGTCTTGCTGTGGAAATCACTCTCGTGTTTATACGTCTAGCTAACTGAGATCTAAAATCTGGAGATTATCCTCCATAGAATTAGGTCACTCTCTTCATGAACATGTCCCCTACATGTCCACAAAGCAGCAAGTTCTCATCAAGAATGTGATTGTTGTAACTGTATCTCATTCATTAAATCATATCATCTCACTTATATATCATTACTATGCAATCCAATCCAGTCCAATCCATTACATCTCCAATCACAAACCCATCCACTCTATCTAACCCCCAACAACAACAAACTCACCTACCGTCGCGCCCTTCCCATCATTTTCCCAACACCCCTCTACCACCAATCTAACATACTTCCCACTCCACGCGCCACCCTCCACCACCAATCTCGTTTCATTTCCCACGACCGGAACCACACTTTCCGTATTGGAAGTCTGCGTCGTATTCCCCGGCGAATACGGGAGACTTGGAGAAATATCCTCGATATTAATTGACCATTCATTTCCATATATCTGACCCTCATCTGTAGTTTCGTTGCCAAAAAAGACAGAGGCGCGGAGGGGAGGTCGAAGACCCCAGTTAAAATAGATGCTCCAGATGGGGGATGCAGGAATGGAAGTGCTGTTTATTAGAAGGGAAGAGGATTCATTTGTGGATGGTTGCCAGGAAGTTGATGATGCGCCGTCGATCGCTGCGACCGGGAATTGTCCGGCTGAATATGGGTCGTTGGAAGTTACGGGCAAGCATTGGAGGAGATTGTTAGGGTTTGTCAATTTTTGGAAGTAGAGACGGTTGGGGATGGTGAGCGTTTGGTTTATCGCAATGCTGTAGGATGTTGTATTTGAAGCGGCAGAACCGGGTGTTCCGACGACAAAGGGAAGTGTGGTATTTTGATAAAGATCGCTGAGCTTAGTGGAAGGAAAACGAGTAATGTTTGTGTGGGTAGTGTTCATGGTAGCCGAGAGAGTTGCTCCTGCGTAGTGGAAAGTACGGACTTTGATGTGGGAGATCTGAGGAGGAAGTGAAGGGTTGAAAAAGAGAGTTGGTTGATCTGTTCGTATACCTAGATAACCAAAGGGTACAACCTGATCGGCTCCTCCGTGCCCAGTTAAGAATGGAAATGCTGGATTGGTTCCTCCATTCAATGTGACATCGTCAACAGCTTGCTCCGAAAATTGAAACCAGGGTGCTCGGAGATATGGAAGAAAACCATTCAATGTGTAAGTGTATGCAGAACATCCAGATTGAGACAAAGCGTTGGCATCAATAGCAAAAATAGAATAAGTCATAGCCGGTCCGTCAGGCGATTGCTTATTTGCATACTTTGGTCCATGTAAGTAAGATCACAATCAAGAAAAGGGTAAGAATACGTACATAATCTAAATCTAATAGTTTGTCTGCTTCGGTATAATTTTGATTGAAATCCAAGGGGTAAGTCAATAAAACCACGTCAGCCTGTTTGACAGCAACGCTATTGTTCATCGTTTGATATTCCAACGTGATGTTGGAGGCTGCAGATGGGAATTCGATATTTTGTTGTTGCTGTTGCCAAGTTGAATTAGCTTCCAAGCCCTGAGAAACTCTCAAATCGTTTGCCAATTCCAAAAGAGTCGCAGCAGAAGCTATCGTGAATGCTCCGTTATCCTTGTTGTTAGCATATTCATCCGGGTCAGTCATATTGTATATCCAATATGATTGTGTGGTTTCATTATACATCAGCAAATGCCCTGTCATAATGGCAGTACTCTCAATTATTTGCCTAGGTCCATTATCGAACCAAGTCTTATTATTTGTGATGTTGTATTCCTGCATTAAATTGAATGCGATGTCATAGTTGAGATGATATTCGTAGTCGACACAGGGACCTGTGCCCGTACAGTTTCCATATCTTCCAGTAGTCCAAGAATAAAGCGAGCTTCCGTTGGGGTAATTATTGAAAGCTGCGTTTTCCAAAGATTGGTTATGCTGCTTGATTCGGAAATTGCTGATTTGTTTGCTCCATTCTGGAAATGCTAGATTGAGTCCGGGTGCCATCCAATAATCAGCATCCCAGAATACTAGACCGGCATATGAGTCGGAATATAATCCTCCTACTGAGATGCTGTTATCATTCAACCCACTACCATCAGGTTGTAAATTTTGGAGAAGATAGTAGGTATTTGCAACTGAAGCAATGTGGAGTGCCTGAACATTGGGATCTTCTGGCAATTCTCCTGTGACTGGATCTGTAAAATCGTCGACAGAGTCTGCTGTCAAGATTTTGGCCCAAGCTGCAATGTGTTCCGCCAGAAGGGTGTTCCATCCAGACTCCTGTGCTGACCTCTGAGCTTCTCGAGCCACAGTTTCAGCATCGCTAAATTTGTCTGTCGAAGCAATTCCAACATACTTGTAGAAAACAGCAGTTTCTCCAGCTTTCAGGCTAATGTTGAAAGACTGTCCAATCGTTGTATCATTTGCAGAGCTTACGTATGCCCCACTGGCATTGGTTCTCGAGGAAGTGTCGGTGTAACTATTCGTAAAGTTGACACCAGAGACAACGAATCCCGTAATATTCGGAAGATTGTTAGGATTTACTGCTGAATAAATGGTGGTCTCATTATCATCTAATCCTTTGGAGGATAGAGTGGATCGAAGGGCACTTTGACCATCTAGCAAGTCTGTGACCTGCCCTTCGGCATCTGCGGAGGAGACAATAGTAGATTTGACGGCCACAACATTCGGTCTTTCCCTACTGAAAAATGCAGCATATGTCACATTGAAAGTAGAATTTTGGTTTGGTGACCATAAATAGTTCCATTCCGCCACACCAGTTTTGAAGGAAATTTTGGAAGTAAAATTTGATATTGAGGTGTTGCTAGCCGTTGCATCCAGGAAACTAGATCCAAAAGAGAAGATAATCCCCGTTGGATGTGGAATCCCACTAATGAATGACTCCCAGCCATACTGATTCAACCAAGGATAATTAGTTCCTTGAGGAGGGACCTGCGCTGGCTCTACATCATAGAATCCGGAAATGGTAGAGAAGGAAATTCTATCGTCGAATAATGGCCACCCATTGGAGGGTGGTATACCATTTGCATCCGTTTGGTTGACATCTTTCTCAAAGAATGGACCTACAGGATGGTTATAAATCAGAACTGATAGACGTTATTCTCAATGAGTCGCCATACCTGCTGCTGCAAGAGAAGCACCAATATATCCATTGGCAAGAGACAATCTGGATTGATATTGTCCCGGAATATATGTAGTAGTAGTCAGGGACCAATCTCTTTGATTCCAAGTTGACAATCCCGCATTTACAGAGAAGTCTGTAGTACCGAATACACTCAAAGAGAGCATCCAGATGTTTCCGAGGAAACAAAGAAGTATTGACGTTACCATTTTGAAACTCATGATGAGATATCTGGATTGTCAATTGAGGATTAATGGGAGGGTATAGATCCAGAATCCATACAGAGTAGTAGAGATGAAGTATAAGGAAGATGAGGAAATATTGAAAACGGCGACATTCAATCAAATGTATAAAAGCTTTTTTTAAACTGATGATGACGTGCCTCCAACAGTAGCAATCATTTTCCCCCTCCGCACATCGAACAAAGAGGTCTAGGAACCCGTAAAAATCGGATGACAGCCACGAAAACCAAGTTTCTAGAAGCCGTGTGCATTTTGCGGGGCTGGAGGCGGGGTAGAGGAGCCGCCTAGCCTTTTTACGTGAGATCCGGAGGTTTCATTTGTTAGCAAGCTTTCACCGTATTTGCTGACATGTAGGAAGAAAATACGACAAGACGAAGACTATTGGGTACACATGATATATCATCTCGGAAAAGAACCGTTCTTTACTGCAGTGTTCAAATTTCATTTCATGGTTTCTTAATAACTTGTTCCTAGGCCAAGAATTGTTTATTCTCCCTATAAAATTTACATTTCTCCTCTATTTACCGCCTCCCACTAATTTGTCCCCATGCATCTGGGCTATGTCTCCCATTTTGCCAACTCCCAGCATCTATCATCATACTCTCCCGACTAATTTGTCTACCAGATCCGTTGGACGTGGTCGGTGCTGCCGCTACGTTGGACATGAAGGGGTTGTTACTGCCGCCTGGTATTTGTCCATTGGGCTGTGGCATTTCCACGACTTGAGGTGCCTGTTGTTGCATCGGTTCTGGTTGTTGCTGTTGCTGAATCTGAGTAGGCGCTAATTGAGGATAATTGTAAAGATCCAAAATACTGCGCTTATCAACTAATCGTCCAGTCTGCTGTGGCATCATGGGGTAGGTTTGCTGTCGATATTGATCATATTGAGCTTGCTGGGGTTGGACTTGAGGCTGTTGGTATTGTGATTGCGGTTGCTGTTGCTGCTGGTATCCATACTGCAATTGCGACCTCGGTTGCTGTTGTTGCTGTATTTGTTGTTGTTGTATTTTGTTGTTGTGAACTTGTTGTTGTTGTATTTGTGTTGTTTTGTACTTGTTGTTGTTGTACTTGTTGTTGCTGTTGCTGCTGCTGTACTTGTTGTTGTTGACTCGCCTGGTTAAAGAAAGGATTCATTTGTTGTGGAGGATTCTGCATTCCCATGTTGTAGCTCCCGGGAGGATACTGCTGTTGTGGTGTTTGAGTGGCTGGACTTACGAATATAGGTTGCTTCATCACCGATTGTTGCATATAGGGGTTCGACTGAAGATTGGTATTTACGACTGGTTGCGGTGATGCTTGTTGCATAAATGGATTCGTATTCAAGTTATTTCGATAATTTTGCTGTAATTGAGGCTGTGGACCTGGATTTTCGTATATGACTGGAGCATAATGGTGTTGTGGTAGAGATGGAACAGGGGGTGTCATAGATTGCTGATATAATTGTTGCACTGGTGGGGGTTGAGAACCAGGCAGCCCCCCTGTGTGGTGAGGGAAAAGAGGCTGTGACGAAGATACCGACATGTTTTGAAAGGCTTGGTTGAGATTGAGTTGTGACTGTGACGGCATTAACCCGAATGGATTTGTGCTCGCAATATTTTGATATGGATTTCCTTCCATCATCTGATTTTGCCCTTGTGCCATTGAACCAGTAGATTGTGTAGATTGTGCCTGGGGAAATACTGGATTATCAAGTCTATCAAATGGGTTATTCGACGCCGATGATATAGTGGGACTGGTTGCTTGAGGTCGCTCAAATGATAGACCAGGTGGGCTAGCTGGGGTTCGCGGCCCAGAAGAATTTATAGACGATGCCGTTCTTGCACTGGAACCACCTTCGCCCAATCGAACTAGAGTTTCAATAGATTTCTCCAAATTTCCACTCAAGCCTTTTAGCACGTCCTTATTTCTCTTCTCGTCCCTGAACCCCATGTCTCGCAGTTTGGCCAACTTCGACTCGAGATCATCCGTTGCGTCAAGGGAAGTTCCGAATATTCTTGAATGCTTATTCTTTCTCGGAGGGGATGGCGCTTGGCTATAATGATCAAATTCTGCCTGCGCATCTGCATTGTCTTTTTTCGCCTTTGAGGATAGGGGGAAAATGGAAGAAGCCGATCTGAAGCCGAATTTGGTCCCATTTTTGGGAGGAAGCGGTGGAGGATGATCGTCTGAGCTCGAACTACCAGTATTATTCCGTCTCTGGGCTGGCGGTCCGTTGGCATATTTCTGTCGTATAAATCGTTCCATGGCCGAATCTGCTTCATCGGCATCGATAGGGATCGGAGGTCGAGTATTTTTAGGATTATAGATTCGATTTGACGCGACATTTCCAGTCTTCTTCATATGCTATCAAACCATTAGAAACATACCAAGATAGAATACTTGCGAACGCACATCTACTTGATCTTTCGACCATGAATCCATACTCAATGATTTAACTTTTGTGATATGTGTTCCCAGCTTTCGGTGTAAGGCCGCGCAACGCATACATAGGAATATTCCCAGCTATTCCATAGTCAGTGATTGTCAGGACATAGTTACTCCTCGTTCAAAGAGTCGTGCGCCAGTGGCCGATGATGACTTACACTCCAACTTGCCCATCCTAGATCTTTGAATTAATATATGTTCAGGCTGATATAGATCTTCGATGCTTACCTGGATTCCTCGCCTGGCAGTCTGCGCAAACATTGTTTCCTGGCAATTTCACAAGTTCTTGAAGTGCCTGCTCATTCCGCGCAAGTTGTCGCTTGCTTAAAATTCCCGACATGATATGATTGTAAGAAAGTGGTTATTAATAAAATTGTATTGGATGTAAAGTTGAAGGAGAAATGAATAGAATATGGTTGAATTGAATTGAAGTAGTTGGTTGGTCAAGGAAAGTTATCTCGACGAATTGAGAATGTACTTCTTCGGTATAATTACAGTTTTATACAAAGACATACAGTTGAATGTACACGAACTCGTAAGTTGCTTTTTCCTCCCGTCGTGAAATCGTTAAATGAGGAAAAATGGCTGATCAAGGTCGTGTTTCTTATTTAGTTTCAAGTAATGCTGGCTGCTAAAGTGGATGAAAGAAGCAGAAGTGGAGAGTTGGGAAATAAGGTATGAGATGATGAGATGAGTTATGGAGAATTGGAGAACGTATCGTATGAGAAGCTTCCGAAGAGATGGAAAGATTGGAGAAAGGAGAATAAATGACTACTTCGTACTTGGGAAGGTAGTATGGTAGATGGAGAAGAGAAACAGAACAGTGAGTGAGTTGAGAGAGTTGATTGAATGAGAGATAGTAGGTAGACCAAGAAGAAAGTCAGAGCTTCGGATGAAGTTCCTCATTTGTCAGAAATTCATAAGTTTGTCAAGAAGTGGAAATATGGAAATATGGAAATTCATTATTCTTAGATGCTGCGACTAACATGGCACTTTTTCATGTACTCCGTGAATTCTGGAGTGCCTTGTTGCCTTGTGATGTTATTATGTCATCACGGCTATCAATTCACGGCTTCTCTATGGACTACGAGACTACGAGACTACGAGACTCACTACACTACCTACCTAGTACACTCCACTCCCCAGTAGGTAAGGTACCGACTAGGTATGTATGCAGCAATAATATAAAGTCGACAAATCATCATTCGATTTGATTTCCGAAAGGATGGAAAAGCTTAAAGTAATACAGAGAGAGAGCACTTACTCCTGTCCCGTCACACTCATAAATCCTTCAATTCAAGGGCTGGAAGCTTTCTTGTTTAATTTCACAATCCATTATTACACTCTTATTGGGGCCCTTGACTACCTACCTACCTAGGGCGTACTCAAGTATATACCTGTATACTGAATGGGTAATCAGATGTATCGAAAATCAATAATTACCAGACCCGAAATTATGATTTCCGTCTGGAGAAAAAGTATGATTATTGATATGTGCTGATCATCCATCTGATTCCGGTTAGATTCATCCGCAGAATTCAAATATGCAATGCAACGGGTGAAAGTAATCTAACGGCTATGCATTCCCGTCAGCATGGTGATAAATCTCGCGAACTGACGCTTCATGAATCGAAGGCCGAGATAACGACGAAATTTTGACACTTGTGGCGCGATTATCAATATCGCCGATTTCTGATAACACGGTGCTTACCTGTAGCACCGTCCACCATAGACCCAATCGAAGAATCTACGGGAAAGGGAGGGGCGATCACATCCCCTCAGTTCTCTCAATTCCCTCGAATCTTCGTCATTTCTTAAGAATTTTCAGTCTCTGATTCACGACAGTCTCTGTCTTCTAGCATTCATATCTCTTCAGGATGGGTTCAACTTATCAACCTTTAAAGCCTAGCTTTTATCCTTCGTCGGAACCCGACTCATCCCCACAAATTCAAGAAGTCATCAAAGCACTCAATCTTATCCCACATATTGAGGGCGGCTTCTTTGCCGAAACAGATCGTGCCCCAGACGTCATTCCTTCGCCATTCGGCTCCGATAAATCCTCTACTACAGATATTGCTCCCCAAAGACCTGGCTTCGATCCCACCGTGCGAAATTCATCGACTAGTATTTTCTATCTGCTTACGCCGCATGGTCCGCAAGGTGGCTTTCATCGGAATAAGGGAAGAACGGTTCATACACTACACAGAGGCCGGGGCAGATATGTTTTGATACACGCCGATGAAGAGGGTTCGGAAAAGAGAATCGAGACATTCATTGTTGGTCAGAATGTTGCTGCTGGCGAAAAGTTACAATGGATTGTAAATGGCGGGAAATACAAGGCATCTTACCTGTTACCAGATGTTGAAGGTGGTCAAGATAGTGATGGACTGTTGATCAGCGAGACTGTTGTTCCCGGATTTGAGTATTCTGATCATGATTTTTTATCTCCTGAGGGATTGAAAGAGCTTGTGGCTTCCGAGAAAGTGGAGGAATTGAGTTGGCTGCTCAGTCCTTTGGGGAAAGGAGAGTAACGGAAAGTCTCTTTGCTCCTAGAACATACAATCACATACAAATTTTGAGAATTTCAGGAGCGGAATTGTTCGTGAATCTTGTTCCCACACTCGGTTGGTTGATTACAGACTTTCTTACTTCCTTCACATCAAGAAAACTGCTAGCTCTTGCTGCAATTTCTATGACGAAGGACGAATGAACTGGTAAAAGATGGCCTTCTTGTCCGGCGAGTGCCCATAGGAGAGCTTCTCAATCTGCTCAAACATAGTCATAATTTCCAATTCGTTACCAATATTTTCTTTCCATTCTTTTCCAGTTCATGCATCTTGCCTAGTTTCGGGTTTCCAGGTCGTCCATGGTTGTCTTATCACTCAGAAGTAAGTGTGTTTACAATTGCAGGAAAGATTGTTGGAACCATGAATTATCGAAATGCACAACACCATTTGTAATGGTCTATTCTCCTTTCATCAGTGATAAAGTCACTTCTGCTTCTCTTTTATCATGTTGATAGTGGAGGATCTGAGGACCCTTAATTCTTTCAATGTCCACAGGAAAAATTAGATCGAGGTAATTAATGATAGTAGAAATCCACCAAATTTTAATTGGCAAACTTTTAAACCTCCATATAAACAAATCATTCTCCGATTTTATACAGTATTTACGTCTTCAATCTACCAAGATCTATACCTTCACTATTTTGAACAAGTTCTTGGCAGACTTTGCCTTGCTTATCACACTTGGAACTTTGCTTACTTTCTGGATCATCATAGGGTCCCGAGGCACAGCATTTTTGCCCCGGACCTTGGCTTCACAATTGACAGCATCATCAGTATCAGTCTTTTGCAACTCTGATATCTTCCATGCTCGCACAAGCTAAAGGGAAAAGGTTACTCCCATATACATAAAGCCAGTGAATATCTGGGCATGCAGAAAATTGGTTCCATTGTTGGTTCGCAACCAAAGTGCATGGCTCGGCAAATGTGCTCGGTATGACCACCGAAACCCAGAATATAGATAGAGCAGATGGTAAGAATTGTAACCCTACAACTTCAGCGCCCACTGGAGCAATTGTAGTGATAAATGTTGCGGAAACAGCGCCACCAATCAAAGCGTAGAAGTTGAGGACCCCAATTTTTTTGGTCAAGATCCAAACTACAAGAGAAAAGATACCAGCCAAGAATGTACAAACAAGTGCGGGTGTCGATTCGTCCGAAACAATCGCTAGCGTATCCTATAACGGGTCGGCCAAGACCTCCTCCAAGATTGAACGTAGCACCAAGAATCGACCCTTGGAATATGGTAAGGCCCACTGTGTTTGCGTAGGTGGATATTGAAAAGAGAAGAGCCACATAACCCAAGACGCTCAGAGAGCCCCAGGCTAAAGTGAGTAGAAACTCTGGTCTTTTCAGGAGGCTGGTATGGAAAGCAATTTGAATAGCTCCAATTGCTTTATTCCGATATTTTATCATGATGGTGGAAAAACCACATGCAGCAGCTGATGCAATAGCAAAACTCGAAAGTCCAGCCAGTACTCTACCTCTGAAAGAGCGCTCTAGAAGCCAACGAATCAATAAGCCTTCCAATTCCTGACTCCGCCGTCCCTTATACCATTTTCAAGAGAGCGTCGACGATCAAATCATTGAGGAATCATACCCAAAAGTAGCACAAAACTGCATTCCCATCCCGAAACGAAAACACAAGCCCTGACTCAAAAATAATTACCAAATTTCAGTCGACCATGACACGCTCAATAATGCTGTGTTTTGCAATATGATTCCTATAGTTAAGATGGGTCCTCGTCCCCCATTCTCGCATAGTGATTGTGGCGATGGACGCAATGAATTGTGCCATGCATGAGAAAAGACCGCCCATAAAAGCGAAATTTAAATTGCTCACTCTGGGAAATGTATTGGTTTTCTCTTAGAAGTAATGGGGAGAAATGCTCCCTACGACTATTTATTATAACATCGAATCAGCGCATTGAATGTTTTCTGACGACAAAGAGATCTTACACTATTGATCCCCCACGTGTGGGGCATTGATCAAAAATACACACAGTGCATAGACCCAGCCGTAACCGCCGTTTGGAGGAGCTTCTATCTCGGGACGTGCTGCTGGTTGGGCTTGCTCGGGGGTCAATATCATTATTGTGTCGTTTGTTGTCCGGGATGTAAATTTCGGGTGGTGGCTTTTCTGGAAAGCCATTGGAAGGGGTGGTGGTATGGTTGTCATTTGAAGGCGCTGATATCGTGTGGCTTGAGCTATTTTTCTTCTCTGGATGCATCTTCTTTGTTCATTGCCTGTGGGTGGCTGTGTGAATATTCTCGCGATTCTAATCGAGGGAATTGCATCGAAGTTTTTGGCGAGTGTTTGTTGCATCGATCAGATACAATTTCGTGAATCTTGATGGAATAATCTGCGCTTTTGGGATATTTATACGCAATGAGATGATGAAGAGAGATAAAGTAGGGCAGGATAATAGGAGACAGCTGGCATTTAAGAACTCGCTAATGGGGGACATGACAATGATCGGGAATAATCTGATGATAGCTAGTTCACTCATAAAGAGCGTGATATTAGATCGATCCATTCTGATATATACATCAATCGCATCGAAGCAGAGAATTACAGCTCACTCTCTATTATAACACTCCTAGCCAAATACTGTATTCTAAGAACGATATCGACCAGTGCTTTTCAAAAAGAGATGCACGTTTAAAGTTACCGTTCTCGCGGTAGATCGGGGAATTAGATGGGGCAGCTTGGCGCGCTCTTTGGTATCTGTACCTGGGGATGCAGGGATGGGAATGTGATACTATAGACTTTTGGAGGGGCGGATTTGTGTCGTCAGATTTGAATTGGATGGGGTGGGATAACTTTTCGAGGAAGGTAGTTTGGGAGTGTGGTTGGTGGGGTATTTGGGGGGTAGGAAGGTGATTGGATTCTTGGGTACGATGGGGTTTGTGGGGGGAGGGGGTAGATGAGAGGTGTGTGGAAATGCTTTGTGAGGTTACTATCAGGAGGAATGGAGATGGAGAGCGATGATTTGAAGAACAACTCTTGCAGTTGAGGTCTTGATCATGGTACATGGATTTGTCTAGCTGGATTTAAAGTTACTGCTCCAGATTACACCCCTATGTAGTGATATCGGTGATGCGGCGAAAGAGATGGAGGGAGGAAACCTGCACTATTACGGCGGGTGGGAGGCAGATCACAGATTACTAACTCATAGATTGGGAAGAAAGTAACATAATATTATTGTCTTCCCTCGAGCTAAAGGGATTATACACTATAAGTATAGGGTAGGACAGGAATCATAATAGCATTGAAGAATGTCTAAAAAAAGATAGGGTTTTTTATATTTTGTTGTATTTATTGATGCAATTAAAATATACATAAATGATTATGTATATATAGCTAGATAATCAAGGTCATCCATATTAGCAATAGCTAGACTGAATCGATTATGATTTGACACCAAAGTTCATCTCAAATGTATGTTTTAAGATGAAAAGACGACCTATAATTTGTAGCAGATTGAATGACAAAAACTAGATATTCAAAATGAAAACAAAGACACAAGCGAGAGCCCAAAGCAACTCCTCTACTAAACTCACTTCAACGTCTTTTGAAACTCGCCAAGTCTCTTATACATCTCTTTCTCAAACAGCTGTTGCATCTCATGACTCTTTGGATCCCCAAAAGGCAATACGTTGCTGGCATAGAAACAAGCCAATCCCGACTCTTTATCGATACTCCACAACAAATTCGGCATACCACTCCAAGTCAAGGTACCCTTCTTATTGCTTCCGTCAACGTCTTCTTCTATGAGTAATCCGCCCAATCCAAAGTTCAATTTTCGTCCCGGTGGTTGACTAGAAAACATCCCCTGGAAGAAGTCTGCGCACACGAAACTGGCACGCAAATTCTCTACCGCTTCTTCCGAAATTTGCGGTTTGAACATTTCCGTTGTGGTAGATTTCTTGAGTAAAATTTCATCATCGCGCAGAAGAGATGTTAGGATTTTGAGATAAGAACTTGCGGAACCGGCAAGTCCCTGGCCCCCAAAACAGTCTTTTTGTTCAATGATGTATAGATTTTCATCAGTCCATTCTACTTTGCCGTTACCTTTGCCTGGAAATGCTTAGGATGGTTTGGGATTGTCTAATCCACTGCGAAAGGTCATTTTCACGAGCTTTTCTTGAACATGTGGTTTGCGGTCGCGATGGAATGTTATATCATTAATATTGAGAGGAGTGAAAATGTGGGTTTGAGCGTAGTCTTCCAATGATTGGCCGTTATTGAGACGTGTAACAAGAACAGATACCCATTCGAGACTGTAGCCATAAGTCCAGGATGTTCCGGGCTCAAACAAAAGTGGGAGAGTGATATCCTTTAACATATCGGTTTTATGGGTATGAACAGAGTCGATACCTTGAGAGGCGCGGAATCTGACGAGCTCTGGTGTGTAACTGTCGTAGCCGACTCCCGATGTGTGCGTAAGTAAATGTCTAGATGTTTTCTAGTCAATGGCTTTGATTTCGTAGATCTCTATAAATTATGGCGTCTTACCTTAAGGTGATCTTATTCTTAGCTGGTTTGAGAATAGGAATTTCCTTTCCATCTGTTCCGGTTTCAAAACCCTCAAGTATTTGAATACCCCTAAACTCTGTCAAAATGGAAGACAGATCATCGTCGAGGCCAATTTGTCCTTGTTCTACGCATCGCAAACCAGCGATAGAAGTTACTAGCTTTGTGCATGATGCCATGATGAAGGTCGAGTCAAGCTCAATTTGAGAGTTTGGGGTTGCAGGGCCAATTGCCTTTTCGTATTTGAATGTTCCTACTACCTGTTAGTTCTTCAGAGCCTTTGAGACGATAGCTATACGAAGGAAAGGAGTCTTTTACCATCGACATTACTGGCAAGAAGTACAACACCTGGGATCTCTCCAGCTGAGGTTGCAGCTTCGAATTTCTGTTCTAGACTAGCCATCGTTCAGAATCCTCTTTCCGATTTCCGATTTCTGATTTCCGTGATATGTGGTTCCCAATGGAAGAGTCAGAAAAGAAAGTGAACATGGAATGCGGCTTAAACATGTAATACCAACACCACCTGTTATATACCTGCCATCAACTACGGAATTCCGATGATTTGAAATACGAGGGATCCATGTGCAGGTGCCCAGCCTTGAGCTTTCAGATACTGTCCAATCGTGTATGGAGAGTCCAAAAAATCAGGTTTCTTCACATCGACCCCATCTTCGGACCCCAAATTCAAGGGGCAATGCATCCCAGCCGATTCACTCATATGACAATCAGATCCGTATTCTTCTCACGTGACCCTTCTTATCGACAGGTTTTAGAATCTATCCAGGCTCTATGGATTCATGGAATGCTTGATTATGCGATCAGCCTTGTTGTTCGAATCCTTCTGCACGAATCGACGGGACCGGATGGTTTAGCATTTGTCAGTACATGTCGGAGTTGGTTGGTATTGGAGTAAGCAGAAGAAGCAACGGCCGGTAAGCCCGCTCTGTCATGGTTGTGCGGGAAAAGCGGCCGTGCTAAACCGGATTCATTCAAATCCTTCCACTAGCAAAAGTCCTGTTCATACTTTGAGAAATCTAATTGGGAATTGGATCGAACCTTTCAGCTGTTATATTCGATATTACCAATGTCTCGAATAATCGCACCGCATTGCTGTGAAGGGGGATTTCAACTCCAGAGAATTCTTTCCATTCTCCTAATCGAAGGAACCTGCAGTCCTGTCGGACATAAGGTCTGAACAAGTTGTTGTTGATGATGGTCTCAATAGGAGGGAACATCTCATAAATGTTTCAGACGCGGAATCATAGGAAGCTGATGCCAGATTGAGTGATGAACAACACTCGAATCTCGGAATATCGTAGGATATCTGATTGCCGAAATACATTGTCGACCGGAATGAATTCTACGTTCCATTCGGGGCATCATCTCGCGGCAACACAAATGAATCTCTTCGTCAGAATCGGGGACGACTCATGGAAAAAAGTTAGAACTGCAGGTTTGACTCCAAATAAAGCATGTTCGTTCAATCAAAATTCAGTAGCGACGTACAGCTGTGCGGGGTAACTTTCAAGGGCCCAATTTTTTTCTATTTTTAATGTTGAGGGAGGGTCGACGTTCTATCGTCGGTGTTTATCTTATTCGTGTAGTCGACGAACTTTGAGGAATTTTGATGGGATTTGTTAGGAATTTTCCACAACATTCATGACATAAGTTGCGGAAAATTAAAACAGTATGGGTACAGCTATCTTTCAGAAGCACCTACTTCCGATGAATGAAAGAACGTGGAATTCACAGTGGACTGATATCTCTCCTGTTGCATGCAGGTGTCAGTCTGAGCAGTTGGGCGGGTTTGCGCGCCATTCAAGTGCGTTCCTACAGGTATAAGATCTCGAGGAGAACGATCCTATCTAAAATTGGCATC